CGGGGAATATAACGAAGCAAGAAGCGAAGCATATAGGCTAAATGATTGAAACAAATTTTCGAATCACGTCCAAACAAATAAATGGTCGTACTCGAAAACTAAACGATCGAATACGCTAATACGATTTACAATAATACGAGTTCAAATACTATATAATCCGTTCGTAACGTTCTAAAGCAACGACCCTCCGCCAAGCGATCAAATGCTCGAAATCGAATCAATATCCTTTGCTGCAAATAAATCTCGTTTTCTCGAAATACCGTGAATACCATTTTTAATCGCTTGACAAAGTCGTGGGCGGTACGAGGATCCTTTTACCCTTTGCATATCCACACAACGGATCTACTTTCTTTCTTTTTTCTCCAATTTTATAAAAAAATCCATACTCGCAAGATCGAAATATTATACTCGAGTTCATCAATCCTACAGTCGCTTTATTATATAAGAATTTACTTAAGAATTTGAGAATAAAAAAAAAAAAAAAAAAAATTCTCAAAAATATCAGACGACGATTATTCTCCTTATCGGAGAATAACTTTTCGTTTCCAATCAAATTCGACGAAAAATATTTTTCTTTGGAATTCTCAAGTTAATTCCAAATTACGATTCGTTAATTTTCTGCCCAACCAAAGGATAAAAGCATCTCGAGTACATGTCGATAACATGGTGTAACATCGGATCTATTATTTGGATATAAATTACCTCCACAAATCCCTCTATCGTGGACAATTTGTATATTATTTTCCTCTATATATTTTCACGTGAATTTTACGTAGTATAATAATAATAATAATAATAATAATAATAATAATAATAAAAATAAAATACTATTTATAGATTACAGTTTGCTTAATTACTGTCCAGTGAAAGAGGATGATTTGGGAAGCAGCAACTCTGAGTATCTAAGCCTATCTCATGAGTTGGTAAGCTTGGTCCTGTCTCTCCCTTCCTTTCATACCTTATCTAAACGTACTTTCTCACGCGTTCTTCTTTCCTTTTTTTTTTTTTTTT